CTCGTTTTTTTTATCAATAATTGCATCATTCGAGACAACTGTTTGGTAAATACGAACTTTATGTCGACTTTATAAAAAATGTTATCGCAGTCGACAGGATTCGAACCTGTGCGGGGAGACCCCAACTGATTTCTAGTCAGTCGCCTTAACCACTCGGCCACGACTGCTGCCGTTACAGAAACCACCCGAAACGCGCACAAATGCGGGAAACGCCGTAGGGTTTTTGTTGTACGCAGGTGCCCTGATGTGCTACTTTTATAAGGAAGCGTGGATCCGACAAATGCATGAGCGCTATACACTAACTACTCTGTACTCGTTAGTATGTAGAGATCGGTGGTTCTGGCTAGCTCATAGCATCTATAGGGCCTATACTAGGTCACGAGAAATAGCGTATATCGTGAAATGTCGGCTACAGTGCCCATAATGCAGTGCGGGTTAATTAATAGCAGGCGCATGCAAATTCCCATATTGAGATCATTTTACTCGGGCGAATTTTTTTTGCGATGAGTCATCGAGGACCCGCATGGTCTTCCGGCTTGCCGCGGAGACGGAGGGTCGGCAGGAAACACACACGCACGCACGCAGACACGGCACGCACGCACGCGAACGCACGGCACACACCAACGCACGCCACGCACGCAGCGCACACACGACGCACGTTCGCACTGCACGCGTTACGCCCCACACGTACGGCATACACACATCACGCCCACGCACACACGCGTACTCTACGTACACGTACAGCACGCCACGCCACGCCACGCCCACGCAACCACACGCACGCACGCGTGTGTGTCCTTTTTCTTTTCTCTGTCGCCGTGCGTGCCGGGCGTGCCGTGCGCTCCGCGCGCGCTGCCCGCGTGTGGCGTTGGTATTGAAAACCGGAGAACATTCATCGCACAGCTCAACAATCGCTAGATCTCTACCGATAACGGCCCTTCTTTGACTCTCTGTCGGCTGCTGCCAATTACTCACGCTCCCTTCCCACCGCGTTCATGTTTGTTAAAACTGCCCTCAAACGTGTGCAAAATAACACACCCAACCGCGGTTTCGAGCTATATAGCTGAAATAATGTTCTCTTTTTCTCGAGCGTGGAGGCGGGAGGGCGGAGGGGAGGGGAGGGGGAGGGGGAGGAGAGGCGTGGGAATTATGCAAGCCTATATACCAACGAGTTATTGTTTTTCGCACGTGTCGGCCCGCTAGCGGCTCGGCCGAGCGGACGTCGGCAGGGTTGGGCCGTCGCCAGCAGCGGCCACGTGACATCTTATACTTGTCTGAAATATGCACGACGGACACGTGCTGTGCAGTCCTGCGTTGCGTGCGTGCGTCGGTGTGTGTGCTGTGTGTGTGCTGTGTGTGTGTGCTGTGTGTTGTGTCCGTGTGCGTGCGTAGCGTGCGTGTGTGTCTGTCTGTGATTGTGTCCTGTGTGCTGTGTGTGTGTGTGTGGTTGCTGTGTGTGTCTGTGTGTGTGTTTCTGTGTGTTTGTCTGTCTGTTCTGCTGCTGTGTGATGTGTGGTACGAGGTGCGTTCGTGCGTGTCGTGTGTCCGTGCGTGCGTGCGTGCGTGTGTGTCTGTCTGTGTGTGTCTGTGTGTGTGTGTTGTGTGTGTGTTGTGTGGGTGTGCTCTCTGTGCCCTGTGTCTGTGGTGTTTCGTCTGTCTGTCTGGTTGTGTTGTGCGTGCGTTCGTGCGTGTGTGTGTGTGCGTGACGTTGCGTGCGGGCGTGGCGACCCTCCCCCCCCCCCCCCCCCCCCCCCCCCCCCCCTACGTCGTTGTGTGTGCGTGCGTGCGTGCGGCGTGCGTGCTGCGCTGCGGGCGGCGTGTGTGGGCGTGCGTGTGTGTGTTGTGTGTGTTGTGTGCGGTGCGTGCGTGCGTTGCGTGCGGACTTTGTCGGTGCGTGCGTGCGTGCGGTGACTGTGCTTGCCGTGCCAACCCTTCCTCGCGCGCGGAGATGCGGGAAAGAGGGTGGCACGCCCGGGACCTGTGATTATTGTGCATAAAAGAGCGCCTTCACCTGCCCACGGCTTCTGCTCACACGCTCTCGAAAGAGAGAGACGTGAGATGAGGCGCAGAAGAAAACGAGAGACCGAGAGAGACAGAGAGATGAGCATAGCGATGGCAGAGAGAGGAGAGAGAGAGTGAAGCCCACAAGAGACGAGAGAGAGAGAGAGAGAAACAAGCAGACGACTGACGAAAAAGTCAGATGAGAAGAGTCTGCAGGGGAGGAGAGATGAGAGAGAGAGAGAGAGAGAGAGAGAGAGAGAGAGAGAGAGAGAGAGAGGCAGAAGAGTGGAAAGAACGCCCTCTGTCGACAGAATGTGCGACCACTCTCTGCGGGTGTGGTGGTGTCGTATAACTGACAACATAAACGATAGGCAATCTTTATATTGTCCGCCTGAGATTATTGCCTCGCTATAACCATGACGGCGGCATCTCGCTAAACCTCGTTTATTGCTGCGAATTACTTAACTGTCGTATATGTACTGTTGCTCCTATTTCTCTATATCACTTATATATTCACTTACATCATTTATATATGACTATATATTCTCTATATACCCACCCAGGCAGAAACGTACTCAAACTGCGACTAGAGCTCTGCTATACCACAAAATGCGCGCAAACTTTTTGGACTGATTCTTCCATTATAACCTAAATGAAAATAACAATATGATTATTGTAATGACCTATATGTGTAAACCAATTATATAAACTATGTATATAACTAATATATAAACTATTATAACTAGTTATGTAAACCTATATTCTAAAATCAATGAGCTAGAAACCCATTGTGCAGAATGTTTTGTATTGTCACATGCAGTTATGACGTCACCCACGCAACACGCGCCATTTCGGTAATAATATTTCACTGGTTTTGCTAAAATATTTCCAAAATTCAAACGCCCAAAGTCAGCACAGCTGAAAGCGTTCATGGGTATTCGTGTTATGTTGACCGCCCCAATGATACGACGTGAGGGAATACAGCAGAGATGTTATAAAAACAGGCGAGATGTTGGTAAAATCAGAAATCCGTGAGAGCGATGTCAGACCGCGTTTAGTGTGTCAAACTAGGCGTCATAACATCTCGTAACGCCTTGAGATTATACATATATATCAGGAGTTAATGAAGACAAATTCTTGAATTAATGAAGACAATCTTCATTAACTCCTGATATATATATATATATATATATATATATATATATATATATATTCAAGAGTAGATAATAGAGAGTCTCTAATATATAGAGATCTCTATGATGTACTCGTTGATATATAATACAAATATATATATATATATATATCAGTGTGTTAAAAATGACAAAGCAAGCATATTTGTCATTATTAACCCCTGTATATATATATTATAAGTATACATATGCGTCTGATATATATATATATATATATATATATATATATATATATACATGTGTAGATTGATGGATATAGATGTGGAATATGTTCGCCCTGTGGCGACAGTGTTCGGCGCTATTTAACACTTTCTCCTGCTTATATAGACATGTGCGTCGTTGATGGCGCATTAATAGAGCGGGATAGGCAGATGTAGGTAGCGCGCGAAGTACCACGCACAACACACACACATAATCAACTTATATATCACCGCTGTCGCGTCTTCACATCAAAATACATCATCAGACGGAAGAAACATAGACGTTAAGCAGGAGACGCGGGAAAGCCGTAATGGAATTTAATCAGTAATCGGAAACTGGAAATTGGAACACCTTCCACTGATCGCTTTAGACTAACTATCTATAACATGAATACTCTATATGATGCGACTCTTTATTAATAAAGTTAGTGTAATAATTATAAAGACGAGTGACCTACACACACAAACCCGCTCCTTTTTTCAACGTCTAGCTGTTATCATCTCAATTTCATATACCGCTGCTATCTTTCATAGATCCGCACACGCACACACACACACACAACACACACACACACACACACACACACACACACACACGCACACACACACACATACACACACACACACACACACACACACACACACGCACGCACGCACGCACGCAACACAACACACACACACACACACACACACACACACAACACACACACACACACACACGCCGCGCGACACACACACACACACACACACACACACACACACACACACACACAGCATTCGTGCGATTCCTTAAAATCACATTCCGCGTCGTGAAATCTGAATTCCGCATCGTGAAATCTCATCCGATTGCGGCTTGACTGTTATTTCGGCGGAGGTACCGAATAGCAACGTGTGCATTCGTGCACTGGTGTGTGCAATACATCCTGGTGTGGTTGCTGTTGTGTGCGAGTGTTGTTGACTGACTGTGAATTGTGTAGTGAGGATGTGGCGTGTGTGTGTTGGTGTGTGTGTGTGCGTGCTGTGTGTGTGTGTGTCTGTGTGTGTGTGTGGGTGTGGTGTGTGTGTGTGTGTGTGTGACTGGTGTGTGTGTGTGTCGTGGGTGTGTGTGTGTGTGTGTGTCTCCGCTAACTTCACTCCAAACCCAATACATCACCTGCAACCAGCAGGTGGGTACAACTAAACCCCACCGGCCAATGCACACACCAGTGTCGTAGCTACCATACCGTCAATCCGCCCGTGTGTGTGTGTGTGTGTTGGTGTGGGCTTGTGTGTGTGTGTGTGCGCGCGCCTTGTGCTGCAGGATGACAGGATAGAGTGCCACAACGGGTGGCGCCTATATTGGTTTGTTTCCAGCGTTTCTCCCGCCTAAGCATCAAAACAGCGATTAATAACCTCATGTTTTTTAATCGTTTCGGTATTCTAATTAATTAATTCTCTATAGACTGATTCGTACGGTCGGTTATTGGGCCTTGCGGGTCGCGCGCCAGCCCGCGGCGAGTGAGGAAGTCAAGTCAATGAATTCTACTACGATAATACGCTGCGTTTGATCATCGGTGGCTGTTGCTCCCTCCGCCGATTTACCCCCGGCCGTCTGCTAGCCTTCGAGCTTCCTCGCGTCTATGTTGGTCGCAAGATGGCGAAGAGGAAAAAACACAGCTACTATACTAACGGCACGTATGCGTATAAAATTAGGTGCGCTGATGCATTCCGGAGTTTTTTACTATACCTGGCGTAGACGCTGATTTTGAAAAGACACACGAAGAACATTCATATTCGTAAGATTCAAGATGGCCGCGCGGGGCCCGTCGATTGGCGGTCGGGGCAAGAAGTAATCCCCGACATTTGCAGCTTAATGAGTGTGAACACACACGTTCGGAATGTGAGAGACGCCGGCGTCGTCTAGATGTCGGACCGCCGAGCGAGCAACGGCTGCGTGTGGCAGGGAGAGGGATTCGCCTGTTAGACTGACGACTCTGTCCGTTTCACTTGTTGAAACGTGAATATTACTACAGTGCTACTAGCGAGGTAAAAAAGCATGGGACAAACGACTCTTAGGGGTGTTGTTTACTCATATTAGCTTTCTCTCTCGTAAATACCGGATCTCATTCCGACCCCTAGCGGGTCGATCGCACGAACAGCGAACCGCCCTGAGCGCGCGCAGTG